GGGGGGGGGGGGGGGGGGACAGCTTGCTCTATTTGACTATTTGAATCTTAATGACTTCTGCATATCATAAATACTATAAGACAAAAATACATGCAACACATGTAACTGAGAAAAAGATCAGTATTCAGAATTTACCGGAAGAAAAAAAAAAAAAAAACCCTCCTACAAATCAGTAAGAAAATAACAACCACCCAATAGACAAATGGGTAAAAGACAAGTATTCCCCAGAAAAGAACACATGAATGGCCAATAAACACATGAGAAGAGGCTCAACCTCATAGGTAATCAGGGAAATGCAAAGTAAAAATACAATGCAATGTTTATTGCAGCTCTGTTCAAAATGGCCAAGATATGGAACCAAACTAAATGTCCACTGACAGATTACTGGATAAACAAAATATGGTACATATACAAAATAGAATACTACTCAGCCATAAAAAAAGAATGTAATTCTGCCAATTGCTGCAACATGGATGAGCTTGAAGAAAATTATATTAAGTGAAATAGGCCAGGCACAGAAAGAAAAATACCACATGTCCTCACTCATATGTGGGAACTAAAAAAAAAAGAGAGACAGAACAAAAAACACCAAATAAATGATAATAATAAGTTGAACTGTTAGTAGGAGAGAGAGAAGAACTGTGGTTACCAGAGGCAGGAAAGGGGAGGATAGTAAGAGGCTGGCTAATGGGCACAAAATCACAACTAGATAGGAAAAATAAGTCTATGGTGTGCAGTCGACCCAGGAATCTATAATTAACAATGATTTACTGCATGTTACCAAACGACAGCAGAGAAGAGGGCAAATGTTCACACAACAAGGAAATATGAGTAAGTTTGCAATGATGAATATGCTAATTACCCTTAATAGATCATACATTGTGTACATGTATTGAAATATAACTCTCTACCCCAAAAATATATACAATCAATATGTTTCAGTAAGAAAAAAAATTTTAAAATACAATGCAATGATATTTTATGTGAATTAGATTGACAAAAATTTTTAAATGTTGGCAAATACATAGAGCTATGGATATTCTTATATATTGCTTGAAGGATGTAATTGGTACGACCCTCTGGAGAAATAATTGGGTACTATGTTATGAAGTGTTAAACATTCACATACCCCATGACTCAGGAATTCCAATCCAAGACATGTATCCTAGAGAAACTCTTGAACATGTATATCTTAAAACATATACAAGGATGTTAACAACAAAAAAAACTGGAAACATCCTGTGTGCATCAACAGAAAAATGGAATAAAAGACTGTGGTATATTCACAACGGAATGCTATACAGCAATGAAAATTAACTATAATTGTATATAAGAATGATGTTTTGGATAGTGCTTTGAAACATAATATTGAGTACAAAAAGGAAATTACAGTATTTTTATAAAGCTCTATTTTCATAAAGCTCAAAATCAAGCTATATTGAATATATCATTTAGGTGGGTAGGTAGGCAGGTAAATAGATTATAAAAAAGTATAAGTCTATGTTTTCAGTACTAAATCTAGAATAAATCTTATTTTTATCTATCTAATTTTCACCTATTATTCAAGTATCACCTGCAGAAGAGACAAGAGAATGAATGCCAAACTTACCTGCAGAAACACTGGGGCAGTTCTCCTTGGCCATATAAAGGAAATAAAAATGGAGTGTTGCCATACCGCCCAAGACAGCGGAGAAAGTTTTGGGTAGCTTTGAGACCATCTATGGTACTGCTGGCTGTCTCTGATATCATTGCAATAGAATGCAGGACAAAATATTGGAGGTTGGGGGTTAATTTTTGAGTTTTTAAATATTCAGAAAATGTCATCTCCTCGTAGGCTATGAAAAGATAGATGAAAATTTATCGATTAAAATCAGAACTAAATTTCTACCTAAAACCACCCACACAAAAATGAGATCAAGACTGTTTAAAAGATTTCACAAAGGACACAGGTGGTATTATTATTCAATTTTGGATAGTGACCATTGATCTTAGGAAAAAACTAGAAACAATCTCACTATCCTAATTGGACTGACGGCACAATTTTCAAGCTTTAAATGATGAATCTTTTGTTTAATATTTTCAGATTTAAAAAACTAGAGTTAATGAAATAACTCAATGAGTTGCCATGGTGAGCAATAATCTCACTTTATTATTAAAACTGCAGAATTCCAGTAACTGCATTTGCAAATTAAACAAATAAAAAATAGAAATTTATTGATGAAAATAACAAAGTAATATGTGACTTTTGTAAAATGTATACTTCTTACTAAAACTTAGAACAATGAACTATCACTAAAAAGTAATTAAATTAATTTGTGTGGCTACTGGAATCAGTCTTACTGATATATCAAAACATAAGGGACCTCTAAAAACTACTCCTTTAAACCAAGAACAGAAAAAAATGTAATGGACTGTCAGTTGTAGGAAATACAATCCCATGACAATTATGAAAATAATTTAAATAAATTTTTTAAAATTTACTGAGAGAATGTAAGTTTACACAGCCACCATGGAGAACAACTTGGTAGTATCTAGTGGACTTAAAGCTTTCAGAGCAATAATTAGACTCAGAGCAAGAATTATTCCATTAAGAAAAAACATACTGCTGCAGTTCTCATTGTAACTTTATAAATGAATTATCAACAGTATATTCCAATTTTGGATAATGTATCCCCCCGCAATAAGGTATACACTTAAAGCATATAGCTCTGATACTAAAAATGGTATACTCAATTTTCAACAATCTGTGAAGTAACTGGCCCCAGATCATACGGTGGGATGGGTCAAAGCCAAGACCAGAAGCCATGTCTTCTCTGAATACAGTAATTTTCCCCATAAACCATCTAGCCTTTTTTTTTTTAAATCAATCAAAACAAATAGCTCAAGATTCCAAGCAAAAGCATTCCTGAATAATGACAAGGTACAGTTTTTTTTCTTACTGATGAGAAAAAATAATGCAATAATGAAAAAGGAATACCATTTATGAAGAACCAGTTGGCAGAAATATTTAATTAACATGAATAAAAATTAAAATCTAGCACGGCATTCCTGCAATGATGAAAATATCTGCACCGTAGCCACAGCAGCCACTAGCCACATGTGGCTACTGAGCCCTTGAAATGTAGCTAGTATGATTGAAAAAATGAATTTTTAATATTAATTTTAAATAATTTAAATAGCTACATGTTGCTAATGGCTAATCAATTAGATAGCACAGAGTTAGGATGCATTTTAAAACACTAATAAGTAGCTCACTAAATCAGAGCAAGCATATTAATAAGAAAGTTCAAATAACTGGAGAACACAATTTAATGGAAAACAATATACCTTTATAGTCATCAGGATGTTCCTCATACTCCATGCAAAATGTAAGAAATTTCATTAGCATTCGCTTTTCTACCATAGTAAGCTGTTTGCTATTAAAGACATCTGCTCTGGAACAAGGAACCTGAAAAATATTAAGACTGTAAGTTAAAAAAACTGCTTCCTAGTGATAACAAGTATTCCAAATTACATTTTTTTCCTTTACGTATAACAGGATTATTATTTCCAACGTATAACAGGATTATTATTTCCATTCTAGTCAGGCTGCTTCACGTTACCTTCCTTCAGTTCTAATGGAATCTCTGTTAACTTCAGAGCTAATTAACATGCAAGCTTTCTTAATTCTGCCAAGTTGCTCCTCATGCCATTAAAGGGCCAATCGCATGTCACCCCTAACAGAGAACAACTAACAGCTCAGATCTAGCAGTGGTACCTGAAACTAACACTTGCTCAATACCAACACATCAAGCTGTGGAATAACTCATGAGAAAATCAACACTAGAAATTTTATTTATTTATTTTATTTATTTATTTTTTTTGTCTTTTTCCGTGTCCGGCAGCGGATCGCAACCCTCAGTGTCGCCCCCGTACCGGACCGGGACCGGCAACGGGATCGCAACCCTCGGTGTTGCCCCCGCGCCTCGCTCAGCCAGTGAGCGGGAACCGGTCTGTATGTGGGATCCGAACCCTCGGCGGGAGCGCCTCCGTGCTTCCCAAGTGGCGCACTAGCGCAGTGCACCACCGGGCCGGCCGACACTAGAAATTTTAATTGAGCAAATCTAACCATTAACATTTGTAAATCACAATGCAGGATTAGAATTTACTGCTTTACCAGGAAAATCACAATCTTATTTGCTTACTCTTCCAAAGTGAACCATAATAACTTAAGTTCATATTCAGTTACAATACTTGATAAGCATAGTACCTGTTCCACTCTTCCTTCTCGAAATGCAAGAATCCTGGTAACATTTTTAAACTCTGCATATCGACTAACATTAGATTTGATTAGAAGATCAATTAGCAATCCTCGAGAATACAGCAGCTGTACAAAGAAAATATTTCAGAGGATAAGATAAAAGGTGAAACAGTGGAAAAATTAATAAACACTAAATATAATTTTTTATATTTTAAATTACTCTTATAAAGTATTACCTATAAATATTATAGGTATACATGATACATAACTCAATTTATTATGGGTTCACAATTGATTATCTGAAATTCAAAATCCAAAAAACTCTGCAATCCAAGTTTTTCATCATTTGTTCAGCAGCAAAACCTGATCCAAACTATTATAAGCCTCTTCTTAGTCACACTTAATGTGAATATTCATACAGCTCACCACAGAAATAGTATAGAGAAACTCAAACTGCTAAGAATGTTACATAATGCACAGCATATCAGCATATGCACTGTATTACTTTTTTTTTTTTTGACAGCTGGCTAGTATGGGGATCCAAACCCTTGACCTTGGTGTTATTAGCACCAAGTGAGCTAACTGGCCAGCCCCTACACTGTATTACTTCCGAAAATAATTTTTAAAAATCTGAATGACGGAACACACCAGGCCCTAGGGGTTTTAGCTAAGGGACTGTAGACCTATATAAAACCAAGTGATTATAAGAAATCAGCCTGGTGGATTCCCCCCACCCCACCAAAACGGGAATAGATTTGTGATACATTTTCACTGAAAGAATAAAATTGTAAGGTCCTTCTGAATTCCTAAGCATTCTAGGTTTATATGAGATATGTCTTTCTCCAGAAGTCAGGATGATGGTTATTGCTGGCATGTACGTGAATGATTCATTTAATCTTTCAATGTCTCTCATAACTAATACTAAAGAGAAAAAAAATCATTTAAACAGTACTATCTAGATTTGGCTATTTCCAAGATACCTTTAAATAATGTCTATAACTCAATACATGTTAAAAATGTAAATGTTACATCTATAATAATTGGGAAAAATAAAATAAAATTAGATTATATAAAGAAAAAGAGATTCTCAAAAATCAATCCAAACCAGTAATCTGAGTATCCAAGAGGACATTAAAGACTTTCCATAATCAATATTAGTTAAGTGAAATTTTAGAAACTGTTATATTAGTTCAGCATTGTGTAGAACAAACAAAATTGACATCACTATTTTTGAAACTAATCCGAATACCCTGACTAAATACGGCATGTTACTTCATTACCTTCTGCCTGACACACTACACAAATTATACACCCCATGTTTTTAAGAATACATTACCAAGTCTTAATTCTACCATATAAAAAAGAAATACTTCAAAAACCTCATTTGCTTAAAAACAAACACTTAAGATTCTAAGATTGTTCAGTAGGCATAATAATGAAATACATATATACAAAATATATAAAGCATAAAAATGCATTTTCATTTACTAAGATCTAATAAAGCTTAAGATTTAATGACAGCTTAAAAACAATTCATTTAAGATATCACTGGAGTGAAAACAAATTTCAATTAAAATTATACTAGGTTTGTTTTTGAAGCTCAGAAATAACAAATGTGTACCATATTTAAACCGAAGCCTCTTTTTCACCACTCTCTAAGGGATCTACCATAGCAATTTTGCAGTGATGAGATGCTAAAGAAACTTCAATTTGATTAAAATAATGGGAACTACACTTAATAATTAACAATTTTTGCTTCACTTGGCATGTTGGTTCCATAATTATTAAGGGTCTGGATTTACTCAGAAATGAATTTTAATTGTCTGTAATAATTTCATCATTGATCATCTTCTCTATTAGTCTGAGAAGTATAACACTATACTTGTATGTATTTTCTTTAACCAACCTTCAACTATTACTTTTTAAAAAGGATATATACACAGATGTGTTATGTAAAGGGTAAAGCCCCACAGTATTTGATTATACCATGATACCTTTGAGGTGGAATGCTTGTAGAAATGTCAAGTAGTTTGTAGATATCAAACTAGACTTTAGGAGAGAGGGTAGGATGTAAAATAGATATTTGGCAATCATCCTAAACTTAGATGTGATAACTGCAATTATCAGAACAAATGAAATTTCCAAGAAGTGATCAATTGCCCCAATAACATGGAATAAATACACTGCTTTCCAACCAGTAAGCACAGAATAAATGTTCACTAAATTTTAAAAAATGACAATAAACCTCCTATTACTATGGTTTTACATTCTTTAGATACTTCTACTTTTGTAGAATGCGTACAATACATGAGAATTGGTTACTTTTTAGATATATGAAACCATGAAAACTATGCATGACAAAGCACAACTGCCTAAGTCAACTGCCTTTAGACACATTTGTTTTTTATTTAACCCAAGAAAACCAGAATTACTAATTACTGGAACCCATGAAAATATCCAGAAATCTCCTTCAGAGTCTCCTCAAATGTCTCAGCTTCTAATTAAATTGTCTTTTTGCGCCCACAACCAGTGCTCATTTTCTTATACAACTGAATAATTTTCTACACTAATTTTTACAACTGAAACAGCACAATCTTCTACCATTTTCCTTTGCCAGACATATACTATATTTCAGCTAACATAAGGGCTACAGACTTTTATGAAATAGCCTTGATTCTCAACCACATTTACATCATCATTTCTTAGGTAAGGCATTCCAAATCCCAAGTAACTACAGTGTAATTCAAAATGAAAATTTCAGAACAGAGCCCATTTGTTATTTGACTACTTCAGTTTGTTTTGTTTTTTAACTTATTTCATGGAGCACTGTTTATAACAAGAAAATAATTAGTGAGCTAGGATTAAATTTCTATCCAGAGACAAACAGCCAAGGTAACATGGAAAGAATGCTAGATTTCAAAGTATGGCAGTGTCAAAGTACATGGAGAAGATGGAACAGATGGTGTAGAAATATGAAGTAGGACCAAGGCAGTAGCCAACTCAGACCTTGACACAGACACAGAGTGCTAAATGATAGAAAGAAAAATGGACAGTAAAAAGATATTCATATTAGCAGGCATCAAGTTCAAAGGGAACAGAAATATGAGGACACGGGACTGTTTCAGCAAACTGTGAGGGGCATACATTCATTGGTCCCTCTCTTTCTCCTATCACTTGGAACTTGAAGAAAGCACATTAAATAGAAAAGCCTAGTTTTGAGACAACTCTGATGTTATTCGCTACTTTCTCCCACTTTTTAATTTCTCATTGTTTGCCCTCAACTTATGAGACCGGATTTGGTCTCTGTTTTTCTCTACTTTTACCCAGCCCTGTACTGTAACCCTTTAAGGCCGTGATCCTTTATTTTACTGGTTTTCTATTCATTTGCACTAAAATAGACTTGCTTCCTATAAACCCAATGCAACATTATACTCTTCTAAGACCCAGGGACCTCCTCTGAAGTCACAATGAACTAATGTTAGAGTTCAGGATAGAAACATAACTGCAGACAGTGGCATTCTTCCCAGACTCCCTACCCCACCACTATTACATTTCCTCTGAAGCCCTCAAACCTGAACACATGATTTTCAAAATTGCACTGGTTTGTTCAGAATATTCATCATCACACAGATGCTAAAACACTTACTACACATAAAGGCTAAACAACATTGATGTAAATTAACTGTAAATAAGATGGATTTGTAAACAGGTTCATTAGAATTCTTCTTTTGACAGAATTCATAGTGTCCACGCACTAGGAGAATATCAGGATGGACTATGTGCTCTAGAATAAAAGTATTCTTCAAGTACAAAAGTATTATTTAATTATTGATTAAAAACACATTGAAAGCATTTTAATGTGAGCATTTTAATGTTTTTAATCTATATTTAAAAATATTTTAATTAGATTATAAACTTCTGGCTATTTCTTTATAAAACAAATGCTCTGCACCTCAAAGAATAAAATTATGAAAACTGAATGTATGGGTCCAGATGCTATTTTCAATTAATTAGAAGTTAGTGCTGTTCCATGATAAGATGGCTAAAATTGGTATTTACCTTTGATACCAAATCAATATTAAATCTCCTGCCTTCTTTAATAATTTGTGAGTAAGTAATCCTATTTTTCTTTGGTTGCTCTGCAGTATCTTCTGCTGGAGGCACATTTTCACTTGTTTCTTCTTCTGAAGTTGATGGCACACAAATTTTATCATCACAATGGTTTTCTTTCTCCCCTGTCACCTCAGCATCATTTACTACTAGGGCACTCTCTGGATCACTGCTTGGAATTTGTTCTGCAGGCATCTCACAGCTCACAGTGTTTAATGACTTATCTTCGGTAGGCAGGCAGGCAGAATCTGCAGCTTCCATGGAGTTCGTAGATGTTACAGAAGCGTGATTTTTCTGCAGTGCACCAGCTTCTTCAACATCTTCATGCAAATCCTGACTAATAAAAAATTATAATAATAATCAACACCATGCTTTTGATAATTCTACCCTGCTACATTTTTATATTGCTTTAACGTTTCATGTCAATTTTTATTCCTTGAACCCTTTTACCTTATCAAGTTCAGTATATACTTTGCCTTCCTTATATTACCTAGACATTAAACATTCATCTGTTAAGGTCTTCATACAATATAAAACATAATTAAAATTTGAAAAGTACATGCAAAGATTTCAGGGTTTAGGAGGTAATGTTACATGTACATGTAAATGTTACATGTACATGAGAATTCAAGGCAGACAGGAGTATTGTATTTTAGAAGCAAATCAACACAATGGTTAAGAGCACAGCCTTCAGAATTAACATATCTGTGTTCAAACCCTGACCCTAAGCCTAGTTAGCTCTGTGAACTCACACAAGTTATTTATTTTCTATGAGAAAGGGAACTTATAACACAGGGATAATACCACCTGCCTCACAAGGTTGTTTTGAAGATTAAATAAGGTATTACATGCAAAGAACCTGGCACAGTGCCTGGGACACAGTAAATGCTTAATAAAGGTAGTTACCAAAGATAATTATTATTGAGTAATTCTTAACTTGGTGGTGTGACAAAGGCACCTTCAGTAAAGTGGAGAAAAATTTGCCATTGGCCTAGCACAATGTCATATTTAACAGGATTTTTCTGTATTCTTTCCTGCCATATATTGTTTTACTAAGGTCTACTGCTCTACTGGAAGCCCCATTTCCAAAGCTATTACCAGAGTTAACAATCTCAGTCTAACATTGTCTTGATTGGTACAACAGGCTCCCATTTGGTCTGCCTGCATCATGAATTTTTCCATGACATTTTATCTTTCACAGAACCCACTATTTTTACTGAGTTGTCCGACTGCTCAATACCTGACCCAATATCTTGAAATGAGATAGGTCTTTGCAAGTAAACATCTCCTAATTGATCGCTTAAGAACTATCAGTAGCCCTTCCTTATATCAAATCTAAACCCCACCCCATAAAATCTTCCTGTCTCTAAAACAAGTCACCTTCTTTATTTACTAATCTTCTGGTCTCATCTCCACCTATTTTCCAACATGGCATCTCTAACTATTACTTTATCAAGTCTAATCTCCATGTTTTGGCCCATACCATTTGTTTCTTCTGGTCTACTCTTGCCACTCCCCATAATATCACAATCCCCCCATTTCCAAACATAATCACATACTTTAACAAACTACCTAAGAACTATCTAAGAAAAAGCTTAAATTTTACTTCCAAGAAGTCTTCCTTATCCCAACCACACTTATAACTCTATGCTCCCATAATACACACATGCAGTCCACCTTGCATTTATTTATCAATTCCTTCTTAGTAGTCCTTTGGTTGTCCATCATATTCTTTATCTTCTGAATTAGACTTTAATTTCCTTGAGGGAAGACCCTAACACCTCTTCTTTTGTGCCCCTCACAACACCTACTGCACTGCTCTATAGATGTAGTATCTGATAAATGCTTGATGGATAAATGGTTTGTAAATGCAGATAATTTTTTTTTTAAATATGAAACAAACTTATTCATAGAAAATGTAAAAAAAATAGGCCAGGACAATATCTTTGATGAACATAGATGCAAAAATCCTCAACAAAATATTAGCAATCAGAATACAGCAACACATCAAAAAAATTATGCACCATGATCAAGTGGGATTCATCCTAGAGATGCAAGGATGGTTCAACATCCACAAGCCAATAAATGTAATACACCACATCAACTAAATCAATGACAAAAACCATATGATTAGGGGCCGGCCCGGTGGCGCACTGCTACAGTGCGCCGCTTCGGAGCGCGGCGGCGCTCCCGCCAAGGGTTCGGATCCCACATACAGACCAGTTCCCGCTCACTGGCTGAGCGAGGTGCGGGCGCGACACCGAGGGTTGCGATCCCGTTGCCAGTCCCGGTCCGGTACGGGCGCGACACTGAGGGTTGCGATCCGTTGCCGGACACGAAAAAAGACAAAAAGGAAAAAAAAAAAAACCAAAAACCATATGATTACCTCAACAGACACAGAAAATGCATTTGACAAAATTCGATGTCCCTTCATGATAAACACTCAACAAATTAGGTAGAGAAGGAAAGTATCTCAACACAATAGAAGCCATATATAACAACCCACTGCCAATATCACCCTGAATGGGGAAAAGCTAAAAGCTTTTCTCTTAAGGAAAGAAAAAAGATAAGAATGACTGCTATCACCACTCCTATTTAACACAGTATTGGAAGTACTAGCCAGAGCAATCAGGGAAGAGAAAGAAATAAAGGGCATCCAGATTGGAAAAGAAGTCAAACTGTCCCTGTTTGCATATGACATTATACTATATGTAGAAAAACCTAAAGACTCTACAAAAAACTCTTAGAGCTGGTAAGTAATTTCAGTAAAGTTGCAGGATATAAAATCAACATGCAAAAACCAGTACGTTTTTATACTCCAACAACAAACTAGCAGAAAAAGAAATCAAGAAAGTAAGCCCATTTAAAATAGTCACCAAAAAAATGAAATACCTAGGAATCAATTCAACCAAAGAAATGAAAGATCTCTAAAATGAAAACAACAAATCATTGCTGAAAGAAATTAAAGAGTATACAAAAAGATCGAAAGACATTCCATGCTCTTAGATTGGAAGAATTAACATTCTAAAAATATCCATCCTACCCAAAGAAATCAACAGTTCAATGCGATCCCCATCAAAATGCCAATGACATCCTTCACAGAAATAGAAAAAACAATCCTAACATTCATATGGAATAACAAAAGGCCCTGAATGGCCAAAGCAATCCTGAACAACAAAAAAATAAAACCAGAGGCATAACACTCCCTGAATTCAAACTATACTACACTTCAAAGACATAGTAACCAAAACAGCATGTTACTGGCAATAAAAACACTCAGACCAATGGAACAGAATAGAGAATCCAGAAATCAACCCACACTTACAGCCAACTGATCTTTGACAAAGGCAACAAGAACATGCACTGGGGAAAAAACTGCTTCTTCAATAAATGGTGCTGGGAAAACTGGACATCCATATGTAGAAAAATAAAACTAGACCCGTACCCCTCACCACATACCAAAATCAACTCAAAATGGATTAAAGACTTAAATATATTACCTGAAACTATATAAAACTCCTAGAAGAAAACATAGGGGAAAAATTTCAGGATATAGGACTGGGCAAAGACTTTATGAATATGACCCAAAACCACAGGCAACAAAAGAAAAAATAAACAAATGGAATTATATCAAACTAAAAAACTTCTGCACAGCAAAAGAAACAACAGAGCAAAAAGATAACCTACAGAATGGGAGGAAATATTTGCAAACTATGCATCCAACAAGGGATTAATATCCAGCATATACAAAGAACTCAACAGTAAAAAAAAAAAGTAACCTAATTTAAACATGAACAAAGGAGCTGAATAGACATTTCTCATATGAAGATATACAAATGGCCAAAAGACACATGAAAAAATGCACATCACTCAGCATCAGGGAAATACAAATCAAAACCACAAGGAGATATCATCTCACCCCAGTTAGACTGGCTATTATCAAAAAGACAGAGAATAACAAATGCTGGTGAGGATGTGGAGAAGGGGGAATCCTCCTACACTGTTGTTGGAACTGTAAAGTAGTGCAGCCATTATGGAAAACAGTATGAAGGTTCCTTAAATAACTACAGATAGAACTGCCATATGACCCAGCAATCTCATTGCTGGATACACACCCAAAGGAATGGAAATCACGTCAAAGGAATACCTGCACTCTCATGTTTATTTCAGCTCTATTTACAATAGCCAAGAGTTGGAATCAACTTCAATGTCCATGACAAATGACTGGATAAGGAAAATGTGGTATATATACTCAATGGAATACTACGCTGTTATAAAAAAAGAATGAAATACTGCCATTCACAGCAACATAGATGAACTTAGAGAAAATGATATTAAGTAAAATAAGCCAGGTACAGAAAGAGAAATACTGCATGTCCTCACTCATAAGTGGGAGCTAAAATAAAGAAAGAAGGAAAAGAAAGGAAAGAAACAAACAATCATAATAATACATTAAACTTTCAAAAAAAAGAAAAGAGAGAACTGTGATTATTAGAGGTAGGAAAGGGGAAGGAATTGACGAGAAATAGTTAAGGCCACAAAGACTGATTATGTTTTGTAAACATGAGTATACTAATTATCCTGATTTGATCATCACAAATTGTACACATGTATTGATATTAGTTTCTGTACCCCACAAATATATATAATTAATTATCTTTCAACACAAAAAACTCAAAAAAAAAATTAGGCCAGGAAAACAATGTATTGCAAATTCAAAAACATGGTTACAGTGAAAAAAGAAATGCCTGATTAAAATTAGCACAATAAACACTACAACAATAAAGGGGACAATGAAACAATAAAATAATACTTAAATGTCAAGAAATAAAATTCCATATTTACTCTTCTAGCCTAGCAATTTTAACAAAATCTAGTGAAAAAATGTACTGATATCATTAATATTACAGCAATGCTTTACAGAGCTAGGAAACTATAGTGGAGAAAGCACCCAAGTTCTACTTCTACATACATTACTTAGGAGATATTAGGCAAGTCACTTAATCTGTCAGATTCCCCAACATAAAATGGGATCAGTCCATCTGCCTTACCTTTCATGAGACTGTTGTGAGATAAATGAGCGAACATATGTGAAAAGTATTTTATAAACTCTAAAAGGTTAATGAAATATAAGATGTTAAACAAATAGAAAACACTGTTAAACTGCCTGCAGGTCAACAGGCACCTCAAAACATGTGTACTTAGGTTTTCTGTGTTCACATGATGAAAGCTCTTTGGCCACATAAACACACAATAGCACCACTGCCATTAACAAAATTAAAAATGAAGAGCAATAACATAAAATGTGATTTGTACATTTTCTATAGAATTGTTCAT